AAGAAATTTTCCAACAATACAAAAATTAAGTTAGGTTATTTAACATGCCCACTTTCCCCACACAAGTTGTTTGGGGGGGGTGATGTTGGGGCTTTGAAGCCTACAGAGTTTAAAGTTGCCAAGGTTGAAAAATGCTGTGTTAGAGAACAGTCTTCTGCAAAGTAGGTCCCAAGCCATCCTTCATCATCTCCAGCTACAAAAAGGAAAAGCAATAACAATAACAGCCTCAGAGGAAAACAAAAAACAAAGCCAGGACTAATGGTGGGAGGAGTACTTAATATTGTAAAATAAATAAATAAATAAATAAATAAAAATAATAATAATAATAATCCATGCAAGTACTTGCACAAGTAGTGTTACCTTTCGCAGGATTATTTTGGAAACGCCTTGGGGCTTGGTCCAAGGAGCCTTTTTTTTTCTTGTTAACCCCCTACTTACTAGGTTCCACTTTCTATTCCTTTATGCAGATCCAGGAGAACAGGAAACACAAGCTTTGTGATTGTAACAGCACTGCTCACTTTGGAGGATCTATAGTGATAGCTCAATGAACTCTCCATTGCTGAGAGGTTAATCATTTGCAGGGTGATGCAGTAAGGGCTAAAGGTCTTTCCAAGGTTCCAAGTGGGAAATACATGGAAGTCTTGACAGCCACTCCAAATCCTGACACTCACATAAATACATGAATTTCTAGATCTTTTCTATGCCTTCAGCAGCAAAGATGATGGAAATTGCAGACCTTCAGAGTGAGTATGAACTTAGCAAATAGGGCTTTGTTGATCGTATTTCAGCAATATGTCATTGGTTTCACTCTGAAAATGTAATCAAAGCTAATCATGGTGTCTGTTTGAAAGCTCAGTCCTTTTTTAAATTATGTCACTATTGATTGTTCAACTGACACATTTTACCTATTTTACTACAGATTACAAATTTGGTCATGGGGAACAATCTAAATGAATCTACTTGCTTCTGGTCCCAGGAGACAAGTCAGAGACAGTATCTTCATAGAATCTCTAACAGGCACTGGTGACCTCTCAGCAGTGTGATTCAGTCTAACCAGTAATGCATTCCTAAGAAGATGCTGTAGGGTCATAACCAAGTGACATTCCAGGCTGTACAGCTGCAGTAGCAAGGGCTGGATCTAAACAGACACCAAAAATAATCCTCCCAAGATTGCTAATACTGAATATGTACATCAGCTGTGCCCAACTTGATGTCTTTCAGATGTACACTAACTGGGAATTCTGAGTGTTGTGGTTCAATACAGCTAAAGGATACCAGGTTGAGCAAAGCTAATATAAACTAATGTAAGTGTGGAGGGGTGTGAGAAGCAAAACTGTGCACTGACATTGACTTACACCAGGAATATTTCAGGACACTTGAGGGAGTTTCTCTGGGTAAAAACAAACCAGCAACAATGAAGGTGTATAATATTTTGCATTGAGGTTCATCATTCCAGTCTTAGTTGGTTCATTTTGGATCTGCACTCAGAGGCTTGTTTCAACTATCCAAACTGATATTCTCTCATGATCAAATTCTCTGGTTGAAACAGTATTGCGAAGATGTGAAAGGAACCGATCCATATCCCATGATGGCTAGGCAAATAGAAAAAAAATCTTGTACCTAAAGATCATAGGCACAGAAATTAGAATGAGGAGATGAAGAATGGCATCTAATCTGCATCATCAGAGGGACAGAATTAAATCTGGCCAATCTCAAAAATTCGAACAGGGTTGAATTTTATGGGAGGGCACTATTCTATTTCAGATACATTATGCGAAGACCCAGCTCTCTGGAAAAGGCTCTAATACTGGGAAAGGTAGAAGGAAAGAGAAGAAGAGGACAACCAGCAGCAAGGTGGATGGACTCAGTTAGAGAGGCAATGAGTGCATTGTTGGGAGACATGAAAGAACAGGTTAGGGATAGATCTTCCTGGAGAAAATCTATCTGTGTGGTCACTAGGAGTTGAAAACAACTTGATGGCACATAAACAATCAATCAACTAGGGAGGCCACTAGGAAATCAAAGAAGAAAGCAATGGCAAAACATCTGTATTTTTGCAAAGAAAACCAAAGGGATGTATCCGTATACTCAACAGCAGCTGAGTTTGAAACAAGAGAACCATTTTTATAAATGTCTTGTTGTACTGGAAATTAAGCTTAAAGCTTGCTTGTTTGCTGATTTATTCAAAAAAGATAATCTGCTGTCCAACAAATGTCTTCAAAAAATGCTATAAAATAATTAAAATGACATAATCCATTACAGCAAAATGATCTGATAATGGGCAGTTTGAAGAACCATCTGTAAGATGGAAATCCCACAGGAAGGGAAAGAGGAAAGAGCACATTGTCACTGATATTTAGAGCTAACCATTGCAAATTGGCAATTAGAAATTATTCAGCTGCCTAAAAAAAAAGATGGCTGTTTTCAAGCCTGTCCCTGCACCCATAGATATATAATAGTACTGCACTTTTACAAGGCTAGAAATGTGCTACTTGTAGGAGGCTGTAGTAAGTGATGTTTCTTTTGATTAGTATTTTTAATACACTTTTCCTGGGGGTGGGTTGTAATTCTATGTTTTCAGTTTGTAAAGCTAGCTCTTTTATCTGCAAATAAATAAGCAAGAGTTTAATATTACAGAATTGTATGGCCAGTTTTCTTGCAGGCCATTTTTTTTATCCTTATGAGCACATCCAGGTAGCTGGGCCTGGCTAGAAGAGTCTGATCAGCAGGGAGTAGTAGTAGCAAAGCTTCCTGGGAGAACACTGATTGTAAATTGTAATTAATTATTAACACTGAGATGTGAAGTAGAATTATTTAAAAAGATGGTGCTAGGCTGAGGGAAGAAGTTCCAAGGTATCACCAAGCCATCAACTGTATTTAAGATGGCCATGGAGTTTGGGGTAAGCTCTTTCCTCCAGGCCTCAAAGGTTGAGTAGGATTAACCTGAAATGAGCCAGCAGCCCTTCAGTTACCCTGAGCACCAAAATCTTTTCTTTCTACTGCATTCCAAGTGATCCTTGCTCTCCTCAGTTAGGTGATCCCTTAAGATTGCTGTGATTCTGATGGTACCAATTTCATCTATTGTAGAAATTGGTGTTGGGCTTGTTGGCTTTGGAATATTCTTCCTCCTGTTTGGTGTATTGTTGTACATGGATTCAGTGCTTCTGGCCTTTGGAAATGTAAGTATCTTTTTAAAGGATCAAATATTTCCTGCAAAAGCAAATAATAAGCACTGCATGTGATAAAATATTAGAATGATTTATTGCCAAAAACCTTCAGTTCTGTTGAGCCTGCTTTACAAAGAACTTGCACTCATATGATTTTATACTTTAAGAATAAGCACATTTGTTTGTAAGTAAATGGACTTTTAATCAACCAGGCACTTGAGCTTTAACCAGAAAATCAGAACTAGCCATTTTAATCCATTAAATAATATATGCAAATAATTTTGTAAGAATGGCTGTAGAATGATAGTGTTTCAAAAACATAAAATACATGCAGCTTCCCATTTCAATCATGATTCAAAAAAGTTCTTTGCCATGGTGGCTGGTGTGAAGAAGAAAAGACAGCTCCTAAAGGCAGGCACCAGAAGTAAGACACTGAAAATCACCTGCAAAACGGACTGGCGGGGAAGGTGAGGAGATAGTCCTGGTGCAACAAAAATCTTTCACATCCACTCTACATGAAAGAGAAAGAACAGGAAATGCTACCCCATTCATCCATTCATGAATCAATTGAAAATAAAAGCAAACTAGTATTTTGCACACTGGCAGATCCCCTACCTAAGGGAAGGGAAAAACTGATAAAACTCTTGTCAATTTCATCCCAGCTCCCTTTTTCCTCACTACTATACTTGGAGTGAGGATAGTTGAAAGGGTATGAAATACTCCCAGCTCAGATCAATCCAATTGCACTTTAAGGTAGCATCAGCAGGTATAAATTTATAGTGGACTTGTTTATTTGAATTATTTGTTTTTTAAAAAGAGTAATTGCTATGAAAGGGACCTGTGAAGCCGTCATGCCACCTTTCCTCTTTAAGGATCTATGAGCAATTCTGCTTAAGCAGAAGCCCTGCAGTAGGGAATCAAGGTAAGGCCAAAAAGTCCTATCAGTGGAAAACCATCTCACACAATGTACTGTAGCACTGCCAAAAAAAAAGAGATTGTGCTTTTCTTCCCCAGTTTTGGCATACCATAGCTGAGTCAGTAATAAATCCACTCAGGTGTTGAACACAGTGAGAACATAGAGATCTGGAGCTTATTCTGGAATGGTGAAAGACCCCGTGTGAAAAAAATATTTTTAAAATATAGAACTCTGAAAGGCCTTCCACCACAAATAAGGAGGGGGCTTACTTCATCTCCAGCAGCAATTGTTTCCATTCTAGAAAGATTCTGCCATGCTTTCTGCATATAAAGATCCAAATACAAAAATCCTCACGAATATAGCCTTCCTCGTTAATAGAACAGTTTGCAGGGAATCTGTGATGGTTGAGATTCAGGTGGGATTCTGAAAGTTAAACTTTCAAATTGTCACTTTCAGTAAGATGGCTGCTGAAGCAATAGATATTCATTGGGTTGCTGATGATACTGTAATCTATCCCCCTGAATGCTGAATTCTGGATACTAATCCTTGGATTTCATTTTGATCTTGTTTCTGATGCTAACTCTTTTGTTCCTGTATAGTCTGATCTCATTCAGCTTGCAAATGGCCAGTAAAACAGATGTGCTTCTATCCAAAGCAAGATGAAATTAAAGAAAACAATAGAACCAATATTCTTTCCTATTCAACAATATAAGATAAAGAGTTAGTCAAATGGTATATAAAATTGGTCCCAACTACATATAGGATTCAGCCTCCATTATTTCTCTCCATAAAACACTATATTATATGAAGTTTGTTATTTAGGCTACATTCTAATAAAACCTGAAGTTTCTTTTTCACCCCCTTAGATCTTGTTCCTGTGTGGCTTGGCTATTATAATTGGACTAAGAAGAACCTTTGGATTCTTTTTCCAAAAGCAGAAGCTTAAGGGAACTAGTTTCTTTCTAGGAGGCATAATCATCGTTCTGCTTCGGTGGCCTCTACTGGGCATGCTGCTAGAGACCTATGGTTTCATTAACCTCTTCAGGTGATTAATCCACCTAAACCTTCGCATCTTCTGTGGGAAATGGTGTATGCATGAGAGTTGGGTTGTAAGAATTCTCTGAACTTGTAAGAACTGATGGAAGTAGCAGCTGCTGGAAGAGGAACAGGGATTGCAGGGAAGGCTTTTTGTTCTGCAGCCATGAATGGTGGGCATTGAGGACCCACACAGCCACCTGCAGGGTAGCCAATTCACCCAAAGGAACACTACAAAAGATTAGGAAAATCTTCAAAAGCTCAGAGAACTTCTACAACCCAACATTCCAACC